GATGATAGACTTTGGTGCCTCACTGAAGGTAAAATAGAAGACACCAACCATCTATGGGGCACTTTTAAGTGGACACAGCAACTCCCTTATGTTGACCCATGGAAATGACTCAACTCTGTGTTGGAAATTTGCTGGTGTTAATCAGCCCTTCTCCACAGATGCCAGCAACTTGCCTTTTGAATGCTAATAAGGTTCTTTCTCCCTTGCAGTCTGTATGGACAGAGACAAAACGGGTTGTTGTGGGGCTCAGGAGGGAATCCTGGACCTAATGTTAGCAGACCTGTGGTTGTGTCTCTGCTCAGAGACTTGCCCATGTGTTTAGGGCGGGAGTAACAACTGAGGGGGAAGCTCTTTACCTGGTTGTTCCTGCTCATCCCTTAAATAGAGTTGCCAGATTTAAATAAACATACAGGATGCCTAGTTACATTTGAATTTCAGATAAACAATGGATAATTGTAGTGCAATGTTTGTATAATGCTTCAGGGTATTTTCGGCCATGGACTTGTACAGTGAAATATGCCTGTGGGAAAAAGACTGTTAGACCTGGATTGACAAGGTGGCTAAGACAGAACCCAAGGTCAAAAGGATCGCAGGGTTGAAGAATTCTTTGGGCGACGGTCTTGGGGAGAGACCATTTGATTTTAATTGCCCAGAGCCTCCCTGCCATCATCTGCCCTGCCAGGTCACAATAGTGATGGCCACGCCACACCCTCAGGACATAGCAGCCGCCATTCTCTTCTTACCTGCTGATAACTAAAAGCAAAATCCTTGGAGGTAGGGCTGAGCCACCACATCCTTCAGGAACCAGCTTTTGAACATTTACCGTGTGCAGAACACTGCGTCTGTGCTGGTGGTGGTTAGAGGTTCATGTTTGTTCTCCGTCTATCCTCTGCTTTGGGGGGTAAAGTAGTAATTAAGCACCCACTCCTGTGTACAGAGCTCTCCACCAGGCTCTGTGCTCATGGTGACAAAAGAAATGGAAAACACAGCCTCGCATGTGCCTGTTGGGACGGCAGAGAGCTTAGGCTTTCATTAACTCAGAATTGGAGTTATCCTCCGTGGCCTCACTCTGACTCTGGGGCGCATGTCTCTTCCTGGGTGTATGTGTAGATAATTGCCATAGTCGTCACCCGAGGTGCATGGAGCCCCCCACCCTCCTGTCTTGAGAGTGATTCGTGGCAAGTCTGGAGGGGGGAAAGGGAGGTTCTGGCTTGCGGCCTTGCAGTGAAGGGAACCAAGTTCATGGCTTATTTGGGGGCCAAACATTGTGCCCTTGGTATTATTTGGGAAACACGCTGGATCAGGAATCGGGAGCTGTTCAGTGCTGAGAAGACCTCGCAAGGCATCATGGCAGAGCCCGAAAGAGATGGGCTTTGATATCAAGAGAGAATTCACTGTAACTCCTGGCCTTGCTGTTTATAAACAATGTCACTTTTTCTGAGCTTCAGTTTCCTCTTCTATGAAATGGAGGCAATTGTAATATGAGGATATTTTGGGGGATTTCATGGGATAAAATATTTGAAAGTGCTAGCAGATAGCACTGTGTCTGTCACTGCAGCATTTCCCATGCTCATAGGACCTTGGAAACTCCTCTGTTATGACACTCTTCACGGTGAATTATAATTATTTCATTTCTGTGTCTGCCTACTTCCACTAGACGGGGCCAGGGCCGTTTTCTGCCGTTCACATTCCCTTGGCTGCATGCCTAGGGCCTGCTAATTCCGAGGCCCGGAGTCGTCCTGTGCTGTATGCACTTCAGGACTTGGGTTTTGCCTGAAGATGACGAGCCTTTACATCTTGCGTCTTCCTCCTGCTCTCCCCTGGTCTTGCTGTTTATAAACAATTCCTCTCTTTCTCTAACTCTCCACTGACTATGGGCAGAGCCCATCCTGTGCATCTGCTTGGCGGCAGGGGTCTTAGGACTATGTTGGGCCGTGATCATTAGGCCCTAAAATGCACAAGGACAGATTTCCAGCACACTCCTGCACGACCAAACAGGTCTATGTTCGAATAGCATCCCAGCTGTGCTCCCCGCTCCTCTCTTTGGCGAGTTCCAGGATTTCTGTGGTATTGTGTGCCTTTATTACTTCGATCGGTGCAGTCCAAGTGCTCAGTCATCCCTTGAGCCTCGTACTTGCCACACTCTGGGCTGGGTGTGGGGGACCTCGAGATGAGGAAGACAGTCTCTTTGCTTGAGGTGCTCCCAATTTCGTGGGAGAGACAGATGTGGAAACAGAGAATTTCTCTCCCAGTCGGTAAGGACCATGATGGCAGTGGGCACAGAAAATTATGGACCCACAGAATCAGAGTCCTTTTCCTCAATTATCTTCTCCCCCTAAGAATCCCATGGCTCCCGCTTCTAACAGATGGACAGGGGAACCAAATCGTAGTTCTCACCCTCAAGGACGATTTGAACACTGGGAGGTAGGGAGCAGCGAGTGGCCAGACTGCCTCAGCCTAGTAGACAGGCCCCCTGCACTGGAAGAAAATCAAGTGTAAGGGCCAGGGGAGACGGGCCACAGGCTACCTGGCCCTGGCTGAAGTGGGACTGGGAGGACTTGGGGAGCAGGTAGTTCAGCCGAGGGCTGCACTTAATGAAAAGAACTTATCTCCTGGCTGGCTACCCGAGGCCTCCAGACAGACACCATATTTCCTCTTCTCTCTGTAGGTTAGCTTTATTTACTCTTGTTCTCTTTCCCGCGTGAGCTTTCTTATCTCTGACACTTGCTTCTCCACCAGCTTTGATTTCTTTTTATTTTCTATCTTGTTTCCATTTCCATGTTTCCTTTCACTGCTCAATTTCCTCTCCTCTCTTTCTCCTCTCCCTCTACCATTTCCTTCTCTCTCTACACTTGCGCCTTTTTGCCTTTTAATTTTGTCTTTCTGCCCCTACCTCCGTGTTCTGAAATGTATCTTGTTCAACTCAAGGGCTGGGGAGGACATTTCCTGTGTGTCTGCGTGTCCCAGGAAACATAATTCTGGACCCTGACCTGGGCAGATTCTACCCAGGAGCGAACTAAGACGGAGCGAACTAGAGTGAAGGAGAGGCTCCATGTGCACCTCAGAGACCCCAAGTTCAAGGTTCCCTCCCCTGTTCAGAATCAACTGAACAATGACCCCATTTCTGCCTCTCCAGTTTCCTATCTCCACCTATCATTGAAGCTTCTCTTTGCCTCTTTATTATTTTTTTAAAATTCTGTCCTATTTTCCATGTTTCTCTCTGATCTCTCATCTCTTCAGAATTTCCTTACTTATTAGAAATTACATCACTCCCCCCTCCCCCTTAAACCCCCTCATTGGCCTTGGAAGAGAGAGTCAAAAGCAGAGACTCCACTCCCTGAGTCTCTCCTTCTCAGATGAGGGTGTGGAAGTTTGGGAGACATGGAGAAGACTTGGGAGTCTTGCCTTACTCCCGAGATCCTTAATGAGAGTAGGATATCTTTCTGGTTCTTATTTTGAGGTTGGATTAGTATAGAATTACAGAATCTTAAAGTTCAAAGAGATCTCCATTGGTCCTTTAAAATATTCTTCAACCCAAGTGGGAACCCTCTTAACTTCCTAATAGATAGTTGAGTACTTTTAATGTTAGGAAGCAGACTGCTTTGGTTCTGGGCAGCTCTTCCTGTTTCAAAGTTATTGTTCAGGGTTCTGATGTCCTGGATCTCTGTGCTTTGTTCCTGTGGACTCTCTATCTGCTTCTTAGAGATACTGTATAGCATAAGGCTTTCATTCACATTCTCTTTCAAGTACTGAAGGCACTTCAAGTATCTTCTTCAATATTTGAAATGTTTCAGAGGATTCTACCAAAAATAATTAAGTGGAATGAAGTATTCTTGGCACCCTTTGACTATGTAGATAATTCACTTTTCTAAATGACTCATCCCCCAACGGTTCCAGATAGCTGAAATTGTCCTAGAGTGGTTCTGAGGGAGGTCAGGGACTATCCCACAGAGAGAAGGCTAAAATTAGAGTTGCAAAAGCAATTTCATTAATGTTTGTGTTGGATGCAATGTCTGTTTTGCACATTATAGTGTACAGAGCTCTCTTGATATTCAATACCCTGTCATTTTATTTTTATACCTAGGCCTTGATACTCCCCCGTTCTGTAGACGAGGCTAGTGAGCCTCATCGAGGTTGAGTGACTTGCCTAAAGTTGCCCAGTTCAGGACTTAATACCCAGTTCTCTTGACTCTGGGCCTTTTGCTGAGTTTTCCATTAATACTTAAGTGTCTTTGTCTCTCCAAAGTATCTGCAGTGTCATGAGGTTATATGAAATAAATTGTCTCCTCAAGACAAGGAACTTGGTGTCCACAATTTAATAGGATTTTTATAGCGTGTGTGTGTGTGTGTGTGTGTGCATGCCCGCACACTTCTTTCTGGCTATGGCTGTGGAATGTGGAAAAATGGAAGCAAAGAAACCAAACCCAGGTCACACAGTGATTCTAAACAAGTATAAATATGCCATATGGGGACCAGTAGAGTTATTCCTTAATTATAAGCATCCCATCCGTGTGACTGATTTGTCTAGTTAAATTTAAGTGTCAAGGTGGAGAAGGGTGAGTTACTCCTTTATTGTACTTAATCCAGAGGAATTTTCTAAAGGAGATAGGAGACAGGGGCGTCTAAGACAATTTTGAAATAAGAAATGTGAGGGCTTTGGTGGGTTGGAAAGCGGGGAAGGAGGTTTGCAAGGAGCAGAGAGCAGTGCAGGGAACAGGCATGGGACAGATGCTGGAGACCTGGATTTGGAGATCATGATTTGGAACTAGGATTCTGACCTGATGATACGTTTTCCTTCTTTGCAAAGCGAAACCCATGGGGCTAAATTTAATTCCACTTGGAACCACTGGTGATTCACCCCAGCACAGGTGCGCCCACACACAGCTGGCGTCAGCTCAGTGTGCTTTCCCGCCTGATCCTTCTTTAACCCAGCTTCCCCCCTGGGACAGGGAAGAGAGCCAGACCCTGCTAACCTTGACCCTCTGTGTCTCCGTCTGCAGCATCCTGGCCACTGCGGGGACCCACTTCAACACACATGTGGACCTGAGGACCCTCCGGGCCGTGCGTGTCCTGAGGCCCCTGAAGCTTGTGTCAGGGATACCCAGTAAGCACCATCTTTCTTCCTTCTACTCTGCTAATAGACTCCTGACACGTCCTCGTCTGATCCTCGTCTAAGAGAATGTGGGGTAAATAAGAGACAGTGTCTCCTGGGAGTTGGCTCCCCTGGTAATAAACAGTGTGGATGCAACAACCGGATATAACATTTCTTTTTGAAACTTAGCAGCTTTTTTTTTTTTTTTTTAGATTTAAACATAATGAAAGATCTTTATAGAAACTTGGGAAAATACATGAAGTGATATAACATGAAAATGAAAAGCTCCCATTATCTTATCAGAAATAACTTTTTCTTTTTTGTTAATCCTCTCCTGAGGATATTTTTTTCCATTGACTTACTTTTTTTTTAGAGAGAGAGTAGAAGGGAGGGAAGGAGGCAAGGGAGAGAGAGAGAGAGAAACATCCATTGGTTGCCTCCCACACACGCCCTGACTGAGGCTGGGAATCAAACCTGCAACCCAGATACATGCCCTTAACTGGGAATCAAACCCCAGACCCTTGGGTGCGAGAGCCGATGTTCTAACCACTGAGCCACCATCCAGGGCCAGAAAGAACTTTTAACATTTCTGTATATTTTTTTCTGTACATTTTAAATATAATTGTGATCATTCTGTACATATAGTTTTAGATCCTGCCATAAGTATTCAATTTTCCTGACATTAAAAAATTCTTCCAAAATATAATTTTAAAACCTGTGTTATAGTCTGTCATAGGGGTCATGACTTGTTTAGCCATTGCTGTGTTGCTGGATATTTAGGCTATTTGCAGTTTTTCCTCCCAACTGGGAATAGTGCTGGGGCAGACATCTTTTTGCTTCGATCTTATTCACATCTCTGGTTATTTTCTTAGGCTAGAATCCTAGAAGTACAATTTCCGGGTCAGAGATATTTTATGAATACTGGTTACACTAAGTCTGCTCTCACAGCAGCGACTGGGATGGCCGGGGCTGAGATAGGAGGATGGGGAAGATGAACTCTGACCTTGCTCTCACAAGACTCACAGCCCAGCAGGGCGAGGACTCACAGGCTCATTGTAATGAGTGTAACCTACAAGAGGAGCCTGAAGGACAACACGGGTGAAATAAATGAAGGGCAATAGGCATGTACAAGGTCAGGGTGAGGAGGAGGAAGGGACTGATCCGTGGGGGAATTCAGGATGGCAGTTTGGCTTGACTTTCCTGGTTATCCCTTTGCAGACGGTCTTTGCCATTTCAGGACCAATGGTTCTTTTCCCTACGCCACTTGCCCTCCTCCTGGGAGAGGGGAGACTGAGCCCGCGCTGGCAGGGGTGCCAAGTGAGGCTCCGTTTGTCATCCTCTTCCCTTCCTTCCAGGCCTGCAGATCGTGTTGAAGTCCATCATGAAGGCCATGGTGCCCCTTCTGCAGATCGGCCTCCTGCTCTTCTTCGCCATCCTGATGTTCGCTATCATCGGCTTGGAGTTCTACAGCGGGAAGCTGCACCGCGCATGCTTCATGAACAATTCAGGTGCGCTCCTAGGCTGTCCCCTGCTTCTTCCCTTCTTCTCCCCTCGGGTCACTGGTCATTTCAGGGCCTTAATGAGAAACAGCTTGGAAAAGTCTGTTCTATTCCAACCCTACAAAGAGAACCAGAAACTTCCTAGTCAGCAGATCTTTTGAGGCCCAACCAGCCCAGACTAAGCATCCCTGTTGAGATTGCAAAGCTAATAACCTCCTAGGTTTACAGTTGGAGGATGTCAAACAGGAGGTCTCAGCTCCCCTGTGCATGGCAGAAGGCTATCAGGAGGCTGTCAGAAACTGTCTGTCTGAAGAAAGACCCTGTGTACAGTGGCCTCTTCAACCCACAGGCCAGGGAGACCTAGGAGTTCCATGGAGACGTGTTTCCTTCGTGGCCCATCTCATGACCTTCCTCCTCTCTGCTGTGACCCACACACAGTATGGACGGAAGGAGGCAGCTCTGAGCCTGGCTTGGCAGGGGGCCTTGGGGACTGGTGGGGTACCCAGACTCCAAATTCTTATCTCTTTGTATCTCATTGTTCTTGGCAAGTTGAGTAGCGTGCCCTAGGAGGAAAGAGGATGGGGAGAGGTTGAAGGAGCCCAATTAGGTACTGTGTTAGTTTTTTTTTTTTTTATGAACAGAATCTTTAAAGGACACCTTATGCTTGGATTTTGATTTCTGATTTTTGTGTTTTATTCAAGACCAGGAATTTAGGCCAGAAAAATTAAAAGAGTTAAGACTCACCAAGGGGACTGTAGCTTATGATTGTCCCCAAGAGGCCCAGAAAGAACTCAGGATCTATCCTAGAGTCTGAGGTTTAGAAAATCAGTGAGATTCTGCCTTCACCTCAGACCTTTCTGTGTGACCCCGTCCTGTAAATTTCTGGTACGCAGGTGACGGTGGAGGCTGTGGCCGCAGAGAGTAGGTGGGCCACGTGCAGGAATGACTCCATTTTCAGAGGAGGTTGAGAAACACCGGGTTGAACACGTGGTATGCGGAGCGTGAGGTGTAGAGAGGCCAGAGATGGGAGGGAGCCTGAGACAACGAAGGGCACACCTTTCTGTGGGAAATCGAGTTGCATGCTTGTGGCTTCCTGAGGTCATTTCCAGCTCATGTTAAACACCACGTGGTTTATTCCCCTCCCTCCACATGTGCCTGCAGGTATTCTAGAAGGATTTGACCCCCCTCACCCGTGTGGTGTGCAGGGCTGCCCAGCTGGTTATGAATGCAGGGACTGGATCGGCCCCAACGACGGGATCACCCAGTTTGATAACATCCTCTTTGCTGTGCTGACTGTCTTCCAGTGCATCACCATGGAAGGGTGGACCACCGTGCTGTACAATGTGAGTAGAGCTGGCGAGGGGCGGGGGCAGAGGACAGAATTGGGGCATGAGGCTTCTGCATTGTTTGGGCTGGTTCGTCTGGGGAAAGGGATGGCTGGGGATCTGCCTGCATGTGTGCAAGCGTGCGTGCCTCTGTGTGTGTGTGTACTCAATCATGGGAAATCTTAGCCTCCATTTTCTGGCCACTTGCTAAGTGGAAGTACACAGCTTCTTAATACAGGAAATTACAACGTGTATTGGATGGATGAACAGCTAGTTAAATCAGATCAACTCAGCAGTTATGGAGTATGTTCTGTAACAGGTTTGATGTGGTGGTGGGGTTCGGTAAGGGGTACCAAGGGGTACATATTTCTTGGTTACTGTCTTCCAAGAACTTACCATTGGTCTGGAAAGATATTGCCGTAGTTCTTAACCCTGACTGCACTTTGGAATCAGCTGGGAGCTTTAAAAATTTACACCCCCTGGGCTTCACTCCAGACAAATTAAATAAGAATAGCTAGGGGTAAAGGCCTGTCATTGATTTTTTTTCCTAAGGCTTCCTAGCTGATTCTAACATTCAGCCACTGTCAAGAACCGCTGCATTATAGGCACATAAGAAACGTACTTAATTGTAAGACTCACGGTAAGACTCACTAGGGATGCTGGTGAAATATTCAGATGCGCAGGCCCTTTTTATGCAGGGTGTGAATAGTTGGTGAGCTTTTTACAAGTGTCCTCATGATTCATATGATCGGACATGTTGGAAAGGTTCTGAGTGGGCACACAAGACAACTGACTGGCTGTCGGGGATGTTAGGATTCCTGCATGGGGCCAGAAGGTAGGCAGGTGACCACTGAAAGGCGTCGTGCAGGTCTGAGTTCTAAAGTAAGACAGGGAGCCCTAGCCGGCTTGGCTCAGTGGATAGAGCGTCGGCCTGCAGACTGAAGGGTCCCGGGTTTGATTCCCGTCAAGGGCATGTACCTTGGTTGAGGGCACATCCCCAGTAGGGTGTCTGCAGGAGGCAGCTGATAGATGTTTCTCTCTCATCGATGTTTCTAACTCTCTATCCTTCTCCCTTCCTCACTGTAAAAAATCAATAAAATATATTTTAAAAAAATAAAATAAAGTAAGACAGGGTCCGGGGTGGATGCGATTTGATGCCCGAGGAGCCTGGGTAGGCAAAGCCATTTGGGCAAGTTGCCTTTGTGAGTAGGTGCTTCCAAAGGTCTGTACCCTCATATACAGCCAGCCAGCCCACCCGCAGTCAGGTACCTTTGGAACGCTCATTCCTCTTACCTGCATTCCCACAGCTGCCTTTACCCTAAGGTGCCCTCTGTTTCCTTTAACCTAGTTTCATTGCATAGAATGTTTTAGGTGGGGCAGAATGTGGCTTATGCAAAGCCCCTTTAGAAGGTGCTCTGGGCATAATCTGTACTGGAGGGAAAGGAAATGTTCAATCTCAGGAGAGACTCCACCAGATTGTAGTGCCCGAGGAGCCGGGGTTTGCGTAAAGCCTGTAAAGTAGGTGCTTAGTGAATGTCCATCACTCACCTGGATCCAGCCCCATACAGGCTGAGCAAGGCAGGATGGAGCTGGCAGAAACAGAGTCACAGGCTGTTGAGCTAGAGGTCGAAAGGACAGTGAGGAAGTCCCAGGACCCAGCAAGCCCAGGGGTTACGTGTGACCTAGAAAGACCTTGAGGACACTCTGGGATTCTTGCCAGCTGTGGTGAGGTGGCAGGAAGGAGGGAAGAAAGGCAAGATGGATGAGTGCTGTCACTCCTCATTGGAGATGTGAAGGATGTTTTGAGGCCATGTCACTCAGATCAGCCAGGCGCCTCTGGGAATGCCAGCACTGGCCCCACAGTGGCGGGTGTCATTAGTGGGGCTTTGGGAGTGATGTAATTCAATTATATGTGTAGACTCACCTAAGTGATGTGATAAATGCATGGAAAGCCTGAAAGGAGAAGTGTTGCTTTTGGAGATACAGGCGTGACCTGCTGGTCCTCCAGAGCCAAGGCTCAGAGGATATTGAGACAGGCAGGAACACAGATGAAGAAACACTCATCACTTCTATTAGTTTCTTTGTTCGTTCATTAAACACATATTAAGTGAGCATCTACTACATTGCAAGCACTATGCGAGGACTTAGGAAAACAGGGAGAAAACGAGTACCATGATCCCTGCTCTCATGGTGCTCTCTTCACATTCCCATTTCTCCCTAGTTATCTACCCAACATATGTATGGAGGTCACACAGACTGACTAACCCTGCTCTCGTCTATAGTTTTGTGCCACCAAGGAAGTGGGGAGAAGGAGGTCAAGCTGCAGATCCTCTGAAACCTGTCACTCATGGGCTCCCAGCCAGCCCATCAGCCATTGAACTTCATTGTACTGAATGCCTCCTGCTACCCCATGACTAGATCCAGGGTCGAGGGAGCTAGTTGAGCTGTAGGGCTGGTTTCCAAAAAGCTGCTGGCTGCTCATGGGCAGAATGACCTCATGTCCACTTTGAGATGACATCACTTCCCAAAGCCTTGGCTCTAGGGGCAGGGCACGGAGCCAGGAGTCCACAGCAGAGGCGGTGGCCATAGTGAGGTGGATGACTACACCTCGATTCAGGAGAAGTTGGATGGGAAAGGCTCCCGTTTTTAGCCAGTGGCACAAGGACCAAGTCCGGCTCCCTGGGAAGAGAGGGCCAGCAAAGGCTGGGCTTCATCTGAGCAGGGAACTGGGGTGTGAAGCAGCCCCAGGCGGTGCTCTCTGCTAGGAGCAGACACATGCTCTGGAGTTAGGTTGTCTGCTCCTGGGGCAGCAGGTTCAGTGTACTGGACCCTTCCTACTGGTGGGCACAGGGCTTTTAATTTATATCATGCGAGCTTTTAATTTCCCCAAATTCATCTGTTCATCTTGGACAGGAGAGAGGGTCAGGGAGTGGGAGAAAAATGACTTACATAGTACAGGCTAATTTACCTACCAATCCTTTCAGTGAGCTCTTGCCCATTGAAAGAAAGTGTGAGATGAGAGATGCCTGGGATCTTGGCTGAAAATCGCAGATTCTGGTAGTCCATGTCAACACTACCTGCGTAGTTTTCTTCTTTTAATATCAACTCAGAGCTTTGTAATGACAACATTTTGCATATGTATTAGAACTGGTTGCACACCATGGAATGAACAATGAACAACTGGTCAACTTAGTATTATAAATACATGTCTATATATGTATGTTTCTACAGATCCAAAAGTCGCTCACTGTGCCACTATCACCACCACCATCACCATAAGGTACAAATGTAGATTGATGTCTCTTTTCTGCCACCCATTCTAGGAAGGCTCAATGCATCCAGCTGCTATTTCCTCATACCAGCCACAAGGAAAAGGGGAGCCCCTAGTTCCTGGTCCAGCACCTCTTCTATTCACTGGCAGCAACAAATATGGGAGATTTATTGGCGCCAATTATGCCCGACCAGTAGGAGAGCCTTCAAGTTTACTCTGTACATAGAAGCTCTGGCAAGCATGTGGACTCAGCCTAACCTTTTCCTATACAACTTAAGTGCTTTTCTGTGTTTGCATCGCTTATCTGCTGCACAGACTCTTCCTAAATGCCTCCCGTGACCTTGTGGTGCCCTGCCACTGATTACTCTTAACTTCATTTGCATGCAGCTTATTCCTTATAATGCATTATTGTAAAAGGGGCAGGAAGGTTCTCATTGCCATGGCAACCCGAGTCCTCCATGCTCAAGCTAGTCTCTACCAAAATTTCCACTCTGCTTGGTCAAACTCCAACTGTATTCTTGGCTTCCCTCTCCTCTTATGGTAGGAAGAATGCAAAGCAGTGTGTGGTTCCGCTGGCTGCTTCTTCCTGTTTTGACTGTCTCTCCAAACAAAAGTCTCCTCAATTTGCAAAGTCTCCCCTCTTCTTACTAGTTTAATTCAGGTATTTCTCCTAATCTGGATAGGGGTTCCTTCGCCAATACAATATGTTCTCTCCAATTTATGCTGTTCCCTCTACAGATGCGACTGTGGCTCAGGAATTAGCTTCTAACCATCACCTGGGCCAGATGGGACTCTGAGAACTGACTTTCTCCTGATTCTGGTCTTATTTCCCTGTCGTCATCCTGGGTGTGTGTCATCTGCTGTTTGTGTTATGAGGACACGTACAGGTTGCACAGGTTTCCAGTCTCTGTTCATATTTCTCTCATCTGGGCTCTTAAAGTCCAGTATTTTTTCACCTGTATTTCTCTAGCTTGAGCTATTTCTCTCCTCACTTGGTGTTGATAAACTTATGCAGATACAGACATTTCTTGGAGACCTGCTGTTTCTCCAACGATGCAGGTATGCCAGCTGCATCTGTTATGACTGCCCGGGACGCTCCATGCTGCTGGGGTGGAAGAGATTTTTATAGCTTTTACTGGCTTTTGGCAAGAAGAGGCAACTATAGTCTGGATGCTTTCCGAGAGTCTTCCTGAGTCCTCAGGAGCCCTTTGGTCTGTAACATGCCTATGGCTCTCCTTTAAGTTGCCTATTCCCAGCTGCACACGGTTAATATTTGTTAAATGGTGAACAGCGACTCACTTCTGCCTCGTTGACATTTTGCTTATGTGTGGCATGCCTAAGAGTAATACCATATCCGAGATTGATGAAGAAAATGCCATCTCCAACTTCAGAAGCTTCTCTGGTTTTATGGTATCTACAGAGAACGCCGCTGGTTCTGGGGTCCATAAGACCAGGGAGTGTGTTTGCACATCTTTGCTCAGCCCCCCTTGCCCACCTCCTCCACATGCCCCGGGAACAGAACTTATGTAAAACTCACTTGACAAATAGGGCGCCGGAGCCTCCCATCATCCTATGGTGCTAGAGCAGTAAGTGCACAAGCTGACCTCAGATCAGGAATATGGTTCATAAAATGCGTAGATTCCTGTGTCCAGGATCAGCCATGCTCTAGAAGAGGCTTTTCTTTCCCCACGTCCCTGTCTACACTGCCCTGTTCCCGTGTCCCTGCAGGAGTCTGGGACCCTGCCATACAGGTGACCCTTGGAATCTGATACTAGTGTCTGTTCATCTGTGACTTGCCTTACACACAGGGGGACTGACAGGTGGATCCTGGAAGTTAGTCTGTCCCCTTTCTCCATGAAGGCTGAGAAGTGATATGGGTTGGGAGGAAGATTAAGACTTGAGTTTGGACATGAATGAAGAATTTGCGATGCTCATGATATGGTGGTGTCAGGAGGGAGTTGAATAAACGAGATGAGAGAAGTCTAGGCAGGAGTTTTCAGTGTGTAGATGGTATTGAAAGTCACAAGACTGGATAAGACAGAAAGGAAGTGAATCTGTAACTATTGGGAGAGAAGAGGGTCCAGAGGTGAAGTTCAAGGTTAGTATGTTGGTGAGCTGAGGAGTTATCAGGGAGGAGGCGGAGAAGGAACAGTAGGGAGGAGAGGTGAAAGTCAGGGAGTGTGCCAACCTGGAGGCCAAATGCAAAGAGGGCTTCAGGAAAGAGGAGACAGGTGATACCGGAGTCAAATGCTGCCAGTGGGTCACCTACGATGACAGCTGAGGAACCACCTTCAGGGACCGGGAGCTGTTTGAGTGGAGTTGAAGGCTGGATACCTGATTGGAGAAGGTTTCAAATAGGGTTGGAAACAGCGAGTACAGACCTTTGTGTTGAATTTTGGTTGAAAGGGAAGCAGAGAAAATGGGGCAGGGGGAAATGCCATTCATTTGCTGATGAGAATAAATCCTTCAAGATCAAAAATCACTGATGATGAAGGGGAGGATAGACAGCTGGTGGAGCCACCTCCTAAAGCAGATGACAAGGGATGGGCTTGAGCCATCAGAGCCCACATGGAGGGCTGGGCTTGCGTGGAGCTCCACACTTTATCACAGCCTGGAGGGAAGGCTCAGGGTCGCGGCGTTGGCATGCAGACGTGGGGATGGTAGCTTGTGGAAATTCTCCTGGTGCTTCTATTTTCTCAATGAAATAGGAAGTAAGGACCTTAGCGGAGGTTGAGAGGAAGAGGATGTTGGAAGTTTGAGGAGAAGGTGTGAAATCGTTTTCTAGGAGAGTGAGGCAGTAAGTGGAGGGGGGATATGATGCCGTCCAGTATTCAGGGCCCACTGGGGGTTAGTGGTGACGAGGTTACAGTGAGACCGGGGATTGCGATGTGTTTGCCTCCAGCCGCATTTGGCCACTGAGGTTCAGGCAGGACGTAGATGGAGAGTTGGCTTTAACCAGAATGCTTTTGCCAGGGGAGTGCAACAACGTGCCAGAGGGTCCAGGCTAGGCTCTTAGCATGGCAGTGGGCTTGGGGCAGAGAATGTGGAAAGGGAGTAGAATAAATTGGATTGCAGGCCCTTTTGGGAATATTATTCTTGAATCTCCTGGACAAATTCCATCTGTGGAGTAAGTTGAGAAACCTGTCTTGTTGCACAGAGGAAGTAGGAAGTGAGTTCTGAAACCAAATGTTCTGATTTCTAATCTGCTCAGACTGCCTCCAGCAGAAGCAGAGTGAGTGTGTAAAGTGAATGAACGAGGTGAGTGTGTGCCCAGGTGCAGAGTAAGCTGTGCCCAGAACGGTCTGCACACCTCCTGAGCCCTCTAAGGTGGCACTCCTGGGCACCTGGCTGCAGCCCGGTTCAGAACACTAACTTGGGGGAACATTTGGGGACTGACGCCCACCAGGCCCACCCATGTTCCTCACGGGCATTGTCCTCTGTCACGTTGTTTTCCTCTCGGAGTGTCTGTCTACATCTTTATTAAACACATTTACGTTTGCAGCTTCTGCTGCTGCCTCTGGCAGCCTGTTCTCCATGTTAATTACTTGTCCTCTCTCTCAACCCTGCTGGGCCGGGAGCCTGGACCACAGTCCGCCCCCGGTGGGAAGAAACTGCGGTTTTCTCTTTCTCCTTCACACATGTTTTTCCATGGGTAGCTGCCTCTGCCCTGAAATTATTCCTACTCTTTTCTATCCATCTTAATAATTCCTCAAACCAGAGAGGCCCTCGTGTTTGGGGCTTATTCCAAATATGCTAAGTTTGCCTCCTGATCGGGTGCCTGAATTTCACACCACGCACCAGGCCAGTCTCCAAGTCGGGCCTGAGCAGAGCCATCAGGCTGGCTCAGGGCTCCTTTCTTTAGCCCACTCTAATATGCAGTTTAATTTCTGATCTGCGACCAGAGGCCTCGGGTGCCTGACGTGTCATGCGGTCTCAGGCCATAATCTCTCTGTTTTGAGTCGACACCAGGCCTTAGGATTAAAGGGCAGAAATGGACTGAAGTGGTGCGTTGGTGACTCAGTGGCTGTTTCAGACACTTTCCCCTGGCTCACTCTGGAACCCAAATCCTTACAGAGCCTCGCCAGACAGGATTGGCACCGTGCCTGTCGCTGGCACACTGGGCAAGCCAAGAGATCTCTGTTCATTTTCCCCTCAATTTATCATTCTCTGGAAAGGTATTTATTGAGCCCTTTCCGTGTGGCCCATCTGAGAATCGTTTGGGGGCAATCAGTGTCATTACAGATTCCTGGGCTTTTCCTGGATCTGAGGATCCAGCAGCCCCAGAGGGGGAAGAAGGACCCTGTGTTTGTAACAAGCTTCCCTGTGGTTCTGAGGCCGCTGACGTTTGAGAGCCACTGTTCCACGTGACCTTCATTACC